AATGAGGAATAATTTCCTTGCCATGAAAGAGTTTAGCTACGGCTTGAAAATTAAAAGAACATTACATACGATATAATTATTTGTTAATTATGATTAATTACTAATTAATCAGAATTAATTGCTTAATTATTTAATTAAGCATAATACTTAATTACCAAAATTATTCCGAACGTAAACGGTACGTCGAAAATAATTTCCGGTAATCTCGACTGTAATGACTGAAATATCTTAATTCGAAATAATAAATAATTTCGAATTCTTGACTTGGACGATTAATCCGAATATTAATATTTCGAATAATACGTCAACTTAACTAATTAATTCCGAATTCATTAATTAATGAAACTAATCGGAATTAATTCTGGAAACTTATTCAGTTACTGAACTAACTAAACCGAATAACTTATCGACTAATAGTCGAATACAAAATATAACTGACTAATTAACCTGAACTGGAAAATGAACATGATTATTTATTAATAAAGGCTAGCTTAAAACTAAAAGCTAGTATTTCCTTTATTAATAAAATATGGGGCGTTACAATTCACCCCCCTAAAAATATTTCCATCCTCGGAAATACTAAAACTGGAATGTACAAGCTTAACTTAAAATTTATACTTACTGATTACATGACTTAAGAAGTCAGTACTCTAATACTGAATAATAGACTTGATTTGAACTGAAGATACATCAATTCACAATTAAGTGAATTGTTGATTACTGCTGACTGAGAATGGACACTTTCTAATATAAAGTGTTCCACTGATAAAACATGATCTCGAAACGAAACTCTGAAGTGTATTGGTTATCATCTTCTGATTGCTGGCTGATCTCCAGTCTGAACGCTGGTTGTGAAGACTCCTGTCGTAGGTACACACGGAAGATTCCAGAGATTCACATATACACAAATGAGGATAACTAGCTATATTGGTAATTACCTTTCATGATGTCTGCTCGACAACGCGGCACATCGTTCGCGGCACATTGTAATGCGGCACACCTGCTCCTCATCAAGTGAGTGCGGCACGCCTGCATACAGCACCTGGCGAACATTGCACCTACGCCGTCGACGTAATCTGATCGTATTTATACCTCAAGCTAGTAACCTCATTGTACGTTAATACTAACTCTCTATAATCTCCCAGTGTACTAAGACTCAAGCATGGCATCTTTGAATGGAAAGCGTCGGTTTGTCATCACGACACGATCTGTTGCTATCGATTGGCCCTTCTTCATCGCGGTATATTTCAACCTGTGGTACCTGCAACTGTTTACTTCCTCCGAGGTTAAACTTAACCTCAAAAAGAAGTCCATCATGAATGAATATCTCCCCCGATTTCTCAGATTCTTCAGAGTTTGAGACTCGAGGCGCTCACATACTAAAAATGATAGATAAGTCTTGTCTTATTAGACAGACTATCCTTGATCTTGACATGACTGGCCTGAACATTCTCATGACTGAATAACCATGAATTGACTCTTACATGACTGAATCATCTTTGTCTAAACTCTGAAAACTATCCCGAGACAACTAAATAGTCGCTTCGGGATTGAAAACGTGATATTTACTGACTTACTTGATTAGATAAGGTACGACTTCAAGTTTCCAGGTAAATTTGGACTAATGGTCTGTATATCAGACCTCCACATTTAGCTCGGCTGAACCACTATTATACGTCGACCTTACATCATGAACATAAACTGTAAATCGTAAACATGAATTTATAACTCTGTACTGTATAAGGCTGCTCCAGTATCAACTGG